GGTTTGTAGATTTTTAAATAGGCTATTCACCCTCCCCTCTAGCCATATTAGGACCTTTCATTGGGGTACAAGCGGAGCGTGTGTTTCGGGGTACCTAGCTAGGCACATTGATTCGTGAATCGCCGAGTAATCCGGTATGACTTGTCTACAGTCTAGCATCGTAGTAAGAACTGGAATATAAAAGATGTAGAACTGGTTCTGATTGCTTACCACCTGCTTAAAAGTAGTACAGATGCTTACATAGAATGGTTAGTTAATGAACTAATCATGACTGCTATTAAAATTGAATATAAGGACACACATTTAGTAATGCTCCTACATATATAATAAACCCACAAGCCAGATAGCCTTGCATATCCTTAGAGTATTTTCTTTTCTCCTGACGGGTAAGTCTTATGGAGTACAATTGAGTACTCAGGGTTTGTTCTACCCTATTGCAAGTGACATGCAGATGCTAGACCTGACACTTGTGTGCGGGAACCTCCTGGTAGGCTCAGCGAGGATTCCTTTACGCCGCGATCATAGTTTTTATTTATAACTCTCACTAAATGTTTTTTATAAATAGAAGTTTTATATATGTTGTCATAGTTTATACATCAATGCTTCATCATGTCATGAATAGATATTTATTTCCGCTGTAACTCTGATCACATGTTTATATTTCACTGTTAAATTAAATTATTCATAACTCTAATAATATGATCATATTCCGCTATTATAAATAATAAATATTATACTCAGATGTTGCATGAAAAATGATGTAAGAAATGACTTAAGAAAGTTATAAGCTTTATTCTCTCATTTGCGATCCTGATGAAAAAATGTGGATTTTTGGATTCTCCCTTAGGGTGTGCTCGATGAAACTGTGTAATTTAGTGTCTTCCTTTGAGTACTTAATGTCTAATGGAGGACAAGTACTCCTGAGGGACATTAGATTAGGCGGTTCTACCACAACAAATCTTTGTTACATCACTCAAAATCCATCATCAAACTCATCAGGATCAGCAGCCTTGTCGTCTTCAGTAGCAGGAACATTTCATCTTCTTTACACTCGCTCACTTCCGCATCATCATGTGGGTCTTCAACTTCATCTTTCTCTTCTCCATCTTCCGTAACAGGAATAGGAACATTTCTTGAACGACTATAATGTTGAGTAGCAGTAGCTCTCCTAGGAAGATTACAACCCTACAACGCTTGTGATGCACCGGTGGCTTCATCAACATGCTGCCATGTGAGGTCGTTGACAGCATCAGACCCTCGAGCATCCGAAATGAGCACATGCAATGAATCAACCCATTCATTGTCCCAATCAAACTCCTCAATTACCAAAGGGTCATATTTCTTACCTGTCTTCTCACGTATAAGCTGAACCCTTGTTCTCATCTTCCAATTGTATGAAACAAAAACAATATCATTCAATCTCTTGTGCAGCAGCCTATTTCTTTTCTTCGTATGCATCTACAAACAAAAAATCAGATGGGAAACAGTATGGCACTATGGGAAACAATATTCCTTTTCTTTGTATGCCTTATGTTTTTTTCTGTACAACAGTAAACTAAAGAAAAAACACAAGTGAATGGCACTATGGCAGAGACAGACATTATACTAATCAAAGAAAGATCCTTGTGCTTTGTGTTGTAGCAGGGTGTGTGACAGCCCAAGCACAAGCAACCATTTGTATATGTGAGTGACAACCCATATAATATAAAAAGCAGGCATCAACAGTTCATCTTATAATATTCAGAGGCTTAGAGTAGAGTACATACAGGCACACACCATGAGCAAAAGCATAGCAAAGTGCAGAATAAATATTCAGAGCAAAAGAGGAGGCAGGGACATGCATGCAACATGAGCATACAATATTCAGATCAATAGCAGAGCACGAGGCATATAATATTCAGATCAAAAGCAGAGCAGCAGAGCACGAGGCATACTATATTCAGAGCAAAAGCAGAGCACGAAGAGCAGATAACACTACAAGAGTACATGCCTGGGAGTTGGCCTTTGGGAGACCAGAGACAGAGAGGAGGTAGGGGACATACCAGGTGGAGGCGCAGACACGAGGCGGACAGACAAGTGCGGCGCGGATGGACCTGCAGACGGCGACTCAAAGCGGACGGACAGGTAAGGTGCGGATGGACCTGCGGATGGCGACGACGACTCGAAGCAGAGAGGAGGCAGGGAGCGTCCAGGCCTAGGCTGACGGTAGATGGTCAACGGAGGCAGGCGAGTTGCTGCAGACGGCCGACGAGTGCAGGTCCGGCCGATCGACGGAGACGGGCGAGCAGGTGTGGACCGCTAGTGGACTTGCGCAGGCAGGTGGAGATGCATGGGCGGCCTCGTGGGAGATGCGGGCAGCCGCTGGACTCGAGCAGACGAGCAGCAAGGCGAGATGCAGGGCCGTCGCCGCCAAGAGTTCCTGCCCTCGGCCTTCTCTTTTCCTCCCCCCTCTCCCTGTGAAGCTGCCCGCACCCGCAGTAAATGCCACCGAGCGGAAAATTTCCCGCGCAAGAGCATATATGCGCTCACCGCAGGTCTTCTGGCGCGGACACGCGCTCGATTTCCCGCCGACGCCATTTGCGCCTAGGCGTCCGCCTGACACCATTCGCGCCTAGGCGACGCCTAATCCTATGAGGCGAATGCCATACCCGCGGAGGTCGTGGTGACCCCGACGCCCAGCACCTCTACCACGCCTTGTCGCCTAGGCGACGACTAGGCGACGCCTCATAAACCATGATAGCGACAGCAGGTTGCAGTTAATTTATGCATGCGAATGCGATCATCTATGCTCGTCGAGATCAATCTTTGCTGCTGCTCGGAGGTTGCCTACGAGACTCGAAAATTTGTTTGAGAAGGCATATTGGTCCTGTTCGCTTCTCTTATAATCTGAAAATTTGTTTGAGAAGGCATATTGGTCCTGTTCGCTTCTCTTATAATCTGGAAATTTGTTTGACAAGGCATATTGGTCCTGTTCGCTTCTCTTATAATTTGTATTTTTCAGTTTGTTTTTTTTTTCAGCCGGCACAGTGTTTTTCTCTCGCAACAAATCATCCGGAACAGTGTTTCGACTTGTTTTTTCAGCGAAGCGAACGGGCCCATTAAGGCATATTATCTGTCCGTTGTGCAGTTATGCTTAGAATGAAAATAATAATAATCATGGACCTCTTGCAGTTGCGGACGATTCTGAAAGTAGATTGCCAGCATCTGCAATTGCTTTGCCTTTGCCTCTTTTTTTTAGGAGTTCTTTTCTCTATACCACGAGAGCATGTAGCTGCAAGAAAGAAAAAACAAAGCTTCTATGGCTCGAAAGCTAATTTCAAGACTAACCGATCCATTGCAGCCCGCAGTCTGGCTGCTTCGTCTCGGTCCGGACCCCTTTTTTCGAAACGGATCTCGGACCGACTTGAAGGCCCATGTACTATGCATGTCTCGGTAGCCCACGAGAACTCAGCAGCAGCGGCAGAGCGGAGAAGTCGTTCGGTCTGACCGTTTAGCACCACCTCGCCAGCGGAAGGCAGACGCGCTGCGAGCTCCCGCTATAAGAGGAGCGCCCCGTGCGACGTTGTTCCATACTTACCTGGACGGGGTCGACGGGCGATCTCGAAGGCCCGTGGCCTAGGTCAGTGGCCCTCATTGCACTTGGAGGGCGCGCTGGCTTACCATCTCCCCAAGTGGGAGAGTGGACGTCATAATTTGTGGTAGAGGGGGTACGCGTTCGCGCGGCCCCTGCTAAATTTCAAAAAATAATTATTCTTTACATCTGTAGAGACCAGTTGGTTTTCAAGCGATTCAGCCCAACCAAAGTTTGGTGAACGATCCTTTACTCCTGGGCCCTTGGATCTTTGTATTTTAATTTTGTAAAATTGGTACTCGTGACATCCAGTTTTCGTTGAGGCCCTTGGATCTTTGTTTTATTTTATAAAAAAGTTCAGTTGGTTTTGCGACTCCTAAAAATTAAAGAAGACCAGTTCTAATTTTTTTTAATAATCCACTTATTACATCAGAAATCCTATATTAGGTCTATATTATCGTAATCATTTTTATATATTCTTTTGTTATTATATATTTGCATGAAGAACCCTTTTTACTTCTTATTCTCTCCCACACTCTTTCACCTTTAGATTTACGAATCGATAAGCACGAGAAAGCAGTATTCGTGGGGCGGAGGAGCCGCGCAAAGTTATGTGGAACGGTGGTGGATTTACTAAGTGCGTAAATTTTAGGAGGAAGGAGGAAGTATTAAGAGTTGTTGGAGAGGGTTTTTTTTTCTTATCTTTCTAAAAATTAAGGATTAGAAATGGATTTAGGCCACTATAGGAGATGCTCCTCTCGTGTTGTCCATGTGTAAAAAGTCCGTTGGTGCTGTTAAATTATTTGAGGATTATCCCAAAACATGGTATTTCACAACTGTTGAAGTATTTGAGGATTATCTCAAAAATAGTATTTCACAACCGTGTTTAACTTATGAGAACTGTTTCCGTTTTTTTGTTTTAGGAAAGGAACGTCCCTTTCAAAAAAGAAGCCGTACAAAGAGAACAAAATGATTTAGAAAATACTATGAAATACGTTCAATGGTTAACGTAAATTGTAATGTTTTTTTATATATCAATTAAATTGATCAAACTTGACACTCTGATTGACTTAACTTTTTGAGATTTGATTGACCTAACTTTGAGACTTAGAAGTAGTTCAGCCGTGTGAGAGTACATACGTAGCACGCGGCAGCCTCGCGTCACACGGGTACATTTAAAATCCACAACACGCCATCCTCCGCTGCATCGCAGCCGTCCAGCGCGACTGCCACGCACGATCCTAGCATCCAGATGCCCGGGGGGAACGTGTCACGTCCGCGCGCCCGCCGCCCACCTAAACATAACCGGCCCGGTCGCCGTCCATACCATCGAACGACTCGAACAAACCAACCCAACCCAACCGCGCTTCTTCTCACTTGGAAAAAACCGTAGGGAGGCACCGAGTCGAGAAGGCAAATCGAATTCGCCATGGGCATGGCTGCTCCGCGCGCGCCGCTGCCTCTCCCCCAGTTGCTGCTGCTCCTCGTCGCCGCGCTCTTCGCCGCCGCTCCCCTCCCTAGGGAGGCCGGGGCGGACGAGTTCGACGTCCGCCGCCACCTCTCCACCGTCACCAGGTGTGCTGCCGCTCGAGACTCTCTGCCCGCTGATCTGAACTTGTTCTCTGCTGTGGGTTAGCGGCGTGCTGTGGTAGTGTGATTCGGGTGTTATGTGTTCCCTTCGCTTTATTGGTGCGACTGGGCCTAGGGCATAGGGGTTTTGAGGGGTTTTGAGGCTTGCCGGGGTTAGGGAGGACTGATGAACTCTACGGTTCGCCGGCCCCAAATTATCCGCAGCTTTACTTCGGGCTGAGCTACTATTCGCTCTCTCTATCTCTCCATCGAGCTAAATTTCTGATGAATGGGACATGGTTATCTGTCTAATTGTAAACACAAACATTTCAGTTCCAGCATGTAGTAAGATAATGGATCTGTTGTAACTTGTACACCTGAATTTTAGTGTTCATGACTATATCTTGGTGGTACAGTACAATGATTTAAAATACAGTACTTGTGATCTTATGGTAATCTGTAGGAAAAGAGTACGTTTTCCAGGTATTAGGAACAGAGGTTTGCCATCTAGAGATCATTATCAGCGAAAGCATGATCTGAATGATACTATCACTTAAATCCGAGAATTGATCTCTGCTCTCACCATTTCTTCCCTGAACGATATGATCTAATCCCCTGGTGATGTCCAGGTATGATGTGGCCAGAGAGTCCAGTAGTGTCATCTCCATGCCGTCAGTCCCAGATGGGTGCCGTGTCATTCACCTCAACCTAGTGGTAAGTTTGCTTCCGTACATTACGCTGTTTTTTCGCTACCCATTCCTAGTGCATTCATACATGTTCTCGACTTCATGTTGGTTCAGTTTGTTTTGAGGGAAATAGCGTAACTATTTTTTTTGATAATATGGCCATATGGCGCTAAGCTCTTTTTTGAGTTTAGAAAAATCCTAATGTGTAATGGACAAACTACTTATATTTTAAGATAATTATGAATAAAATGATATAGCTCACAGAAAGGATTGCATATTTAGTTGGTAACCTGATATTATCTTTTTCTATTTTACTAGGCAAGACATGGGACTCGTGCTCCTACCAAGAAGCGAATCAAGGAGCTGGATAGATTGGCAGTTCGGCTGGAAGCCCTTATGAAAGAGGCAAATCAGGGCCTTGATAGTGATTCTCTGAAGAAGATTCCATCCTGGATTAAAGGCTGGGAATCACGTTGGAAGGGTAGGACTAAAGGTGGTGAGCTGATTAGTGAAGGGGAAGAGGAGCTGTACAATTTAGCTACCAGAGTGAGAGAGAGGTTTCAAGATCTACTTGACGACGAATATCACCCTGATGTATATTCAATAAGAGCAACTCAGGTCAGCTTCGACATAGCTTCTTTAATTTGCTTATGTGTATATTCTCGCATCTAATGATTATGTCATGAGACCTCTTTTTCATTCTCACAAGAAAGGTAAATAATACTTACTAGTATGTCACATTTGGATTGTCATACTACCATTCTTTCCATTGTTGTTTTTGACGGAAGGGACCTATTGTGGAAATATTAATAATTTACACAAAGTCAAATCTGATTACTCAAGAGAATAGGTGAACCTGCAAAGTTGTTCCAAAATGACCCAGACACACAACTACGGTCATCAAATGTTGCTGATTTCTACTCTTGCAGCAGATTAACTATGTTTCAAAATACAGGTTCCTCGAGCATCAGCTAGTGCAGTGGCATTTGGTTTGGGACTACTTTCTGGGAAAGGAAAGCTTGGACAAGGGAAGAACCGTGCCTTTTCTGTTCTGAGTGAGAGTCGTGCAAGTGATATTTGTCTGAGATTCTTTGACAGCTGTGAGACATACAAGGTATTATTTATGATAGCACTAACATTTTTGAGGAAGATTAAGAAAAAAAAACATTGGCTGATGTGCTAATGTGACTTGATTTTTTTTAATTCCAGCGTATACCGTGGTCTTGTTTATTTTTTCTTAAAATTTTGATATTTGAAGTATCCAAGTCTGATCAAGCCTTGTAGAATATCAGTAACAGAAGATAAATTGATGGTAGCAATGCCAAATGGTGCTACCATGTTGTGCTATTTAGTAGTTACTTAACAATTTCATTCCTCATATATGCGCTACTTTATCTGTTTCATACAATGCATCCAATCTTCTGTTTCACCTTTACAGCTTATTAGGTTGCCCTCACCAGCTTTTCTCCCCTTTCTGTTTTAGAAGGGCTATGCACTCATGTTCACGTGTTTCTCATTTTTTTTTGACTTGGAAGTTAAAGTCTATAGGTATACTAAGCTACATATTGTTGTAGCTGAATAAAGAACGTTAACTTTGGGACCGTTTCCAGGCATACATGAAAAGGAAGGAGCCTGATGTAGAGAAGCAAAAGGAACCAATTCTAGAGCATGTCACAGCTGCACTTGCCAATCGTTATCACCTTAAATTTACAACTCAGGATGTTTCTTCCCTCTGGTTTCTTTGTAAGCAGGTAAAGTGTGAAACATGGAAAAGGGAGCTGATGATTTCTGCTATATGTTTCAGAAGAGACCTACCTGCTAGGCTCTAGAGTTAGATGTAAATAACTTTTGAATGTTTTAAATGCAGGAAGCATCTTTGTTGAATATAACCAATCAAGCTTGTGGGCTTTTCAATGAAGCCGAGGTAGGTTACCTCTGGACGTCTATTGCGCCATGCTTCATGGTTGAAATTTCTTGTTTATCTATCTGTAATGGCAACTTTTTTCTTTTTGTGCTTGGTGGACAGAAATGCTGCATAGATATTAGGCCTTGAATTTTCAATTTTGTAAAGTTCACTGCATTTTCAAATAATGTATCATCTTCACGAGGTGGTGTTGGTTATTATGCTTTGGAAAATATAAATGATCTTTACATGTTTTTAATAGTTGTATATTGGTGAGTTATTTGGTTTGTTCAAAGTACTTGTCAAGCAGTTTATGCTGCTCAAGCTATCCATGCAATTAGACCTCCCTTTGGTAGACAGTGAAATATTCTCATTCAGTCATTCCTTGACTGGAATTCGTTGTTCCACTAATTGTTCGGTTGGTTGAGAGAAAACTCTACTGGATCCAATTCGTGCGATGATCTGAATTCGAGAATGCTACTTAAAAAATGTGTCTTAACAGAACATATGGCAAGTTCTTACGGGCACCTTAGGTTTAGTGTTCTTCCTTAAGCAATCTGTTATTGTGCTTTCTGACTCGTGTTTACATACTTTTAAGTAACTTATTTTCTTAAATCTTTTGACTTGCTTTGCTTTTTAAAAAAAAAAAAAAATTAATGTAAAAAAATGTTCTGTTCAGGTTCGTTTTCTAGAGTGGACAGATGATTTGGAGGGTTTTGTCCTAAAAGGCTATGGTGAATCAATTAACTACAGGATGGGACTGCCATTGCTCAAGGATGTTGTCCAGTCAATGGAAGAAGCAATCATAGCAAGAGAAGGTAGCTGTATTCCTGATTTCAGCAAACTAATTCTGATCTTTAGGATGTGCTTCTTGGTAAGATAACTACATAATCCTTGATATTGTAGAAAACCGCCCTGATGGTACGTATGAAAAGGCAAGGCTTCGATTTGCACATGCAAAAACTGTTGTTCCTTTTAGCTGCCTTCTCGGTCTTTTTCTTGAAGGTCCAGGTATGTTTCCACTTCTTCGCTTAGTCCTGTTCATGAAATTCTTCCTCTGAATTATATATTGACGATCGATGCCTCATTTGACACATCTAACATATATGAACTTTTGACTGCCTAGACTTTGAGAAGATACAGAGGGAGGAAGCGTTGGACCTACCCCCTTTGCCGCCACAGAGAAGAAACTGGAAGGGCAGTGTTGTTACGCCTTTTGCTGGTAACAACATGCTGGCTTTATACCAATGCCCAAGCAAAATTTCGGATGGCAGCATAATTTCTGGTGGCCAAAATAACTCATACTTCATTCAAGTTCTACACAACGAAGTCCCAGTTTCAATGCCTGTAAGACTTATAACTTCCCTTCTATTTGTGTTTTCTTCATCTATTTGTTCGGATCTAACTAAATTTATTGACCCCCTCTCTTCCCTAAATTTTGGGACTGAGAGGTATCTTGTGAAGTCAAACAATTAAATAATCTCAACCAAAATGATGTTAACAGTTAACACGATGAATATTGATTTATATGCTGCAGATATATCTTGTTTTTACCTTCTGTCAATGCAATTTGAACTTTGTGTCTGGGTAGAGGTACAGCTGCTCAAAAATAAATATTTTTGGGCTTTAGATACCTGGACAGAGGGATGGGCAAACCCAATCTCAAATAACTCCTGGAAATGCTTCCTATGTTTCATTTGTTGAAGTAGATGCCTTGGCCTAACCCAACTTGCTTGGGACTAAAAGGCTCTGATGTTGTATAAGTAAACGTTTTGCTTGCATATATCAAGCTTAGTGCATTGTAAGATACAGTGAATCGTTGCTAAGTTGGACCATATGTATATGCAGGGGTGCGGCAACAAAGATTTCTGTCCATTCGAGGAGTTCAAGGTAAACACAACATGGCCTCTGCATTTGTTTTTGAAAGGCGCCTCTCATGTTTTAAGTATCACATCTCTTCATTTCAAAGAAATGGGTTTTTATCACCTTGTCTGTGCCTACAGGAGAAGATCGTGAAACCGCACCTGAAGCACGACTACAATATGATATGCAAGATCAAATCCCCGGCGGGAAGCGAGGAGCCCGCCTCGTTCCCCTCTAGAGTGTCCAGTTTCTTCCTAGGACTCTTCTCGCAGAGAGGGTACCGCGCCGTGGGCGCTGAAGGCGTCAAGACCGAGCTGTAGGCCATACTAGCAACCATCTGCCACGGTGCTACCTCTCACCGTCTGCGAGCACGCTCAAGGAATTAGACTAACCGATGCACTAACCTACGGTGTTTTTGTACGGGGCGAGTCGAATGTGTAGGAAGGAGGCGCGCGTCAGTCCAATTTATCCAGGGCCAGACGCCTCGTAAAGGCCCTGTTCGCTTCATTGAAAAGTCATGGCTAAAAATACTGTTCGCTGATTTATTGTGAGGGGAAAACATTGTTCCTTCGTTCGTTGAAATAGGACGGCTCGTCAGACAAACTAACGGGGCCAAATTCTGTTTCACTTCAGACACCCTTCCGCGCATAAAGAAACGCATGTCGTCGAGTCACGAGTGGCTTTTGCCGTTGCGGTCATGTCACTGTAGCTTGATAGCTTCCGTTGTAATGGCTACTACTCTGCTACGAGTGTGCAAGGCTGTGAATTGTGATGGGTGCGCAAGCCCTGTGAGGCTGTGAGTGACTGTTCAGTGGAAAAATCCAAAAGAGGTTGACCAGATCCGACTCCGAGAGGCGGGTACCAACCGCATCCCTAGTGTGCCGTAGCCACTCCACGGTCACACTCTCGACGAGACCTCACCACCTCAGCTCAGCTCAGAGGAAGGATAGACGGCGAGATGGCAAGCGGGGAAGAAGGCAAGGGGGAGACGGTGCTGGTCACCAGCGCCAGCGGCTTCATCGGCTCGACCCTCGTCCGCGGCCTCCTCGGTCCGGCTACAACGTCCGCGCCGGCGTCCTCAACCCCGGTCAGTAGCACTAGCACCGCACCGCACTCTCCGGCTTTGCTCTCTAGACAGCGTCACCATGATGCCGGGAGAAAAGCTGGCCCCTTGCCTGCGACGCGGAGCTCATCGAGCCCGCGGTGGTGTGCAGATGACAGGGCGGAGACGGACCACCTCCTCGCGCTCGCCGCCGGCGCCGGCGACGGCCGCCTCAGCTTCTTCCGCTGCGGCCTCCTGGACGGCGCCGCGCTGCTCGACGCCACGCGGGGATGCTCGGGCGTCTTCCACCTCGCGTCACCCTGCACCGTCGACCCCGTCAAGGACCCCCAGGTATGTACCTGCCGCGCCGTAGTGACAGTAAGGCAGTAACCAGTTGCCCCGTCGCCGCGTGCCCGTCCGGCCGCACACCCATGCCGACCCTGCTCCGCTCGCTGTTGCAGAATCAGCTGATGGTGCCCGCGGTGGAAGGGACGCGGAACGTAGTGCGCGCGGCCAAGGACGCCGGCGGAGTACGGCGGGTGGTGGTGACCTCGTCCATCTCGGCCATCGTGCCCAGCCCCGGGTGGCCCGCCGACGAGGTCCTCGACGAGCGTTGCTGGACCGACATCGACTACTGCGAGAAGAACGGGGTGAGCCTCGCCTACCTGCCAACTCCAGCTGCTCCTGCTTGGGTTCTTCCTTCCCAGTGAACTCACCTGAACTCTGTACTTTGGGAAAACATAATAGAATCGCATCCTATTCCTAGCGTACATCATGCATGGAAACCGCAGTAAACGTCAACAATGAAAATGGTCTGCAGAATATCCTGGATGCAATGCAATGCAACCTCTGCAGAGCTTCAGTTCCATCAGCAATCTGTTGGCTGTTACTCCTATCTCAGGTCCCATTTGCTTTTTGTGTGTAGGTTTGGTACCCTGCTTCGAAGGCACTGGCAGAGAAGGCAGCGTGGAAGTTTGCAGAGGAGAACGGGCTAGATGTGGTTGTGGTTAACCCAGGGACTGTGCTGGGTCCGATGATTCCACCAGCCATCAACGCTAGCATGGCCATGTTTTGTCGCCTCCTTAAGGTAAGCATATTGCACACAGTTCAGTAACCTATTTCTTAAGGTTGGAAAATTTCAATTTTGTTATTCGTCCATTTAAAAATTAGTGGAACTGTCAACTTACCATGCCTTGTTCGTTCCGATAAGCCTCTTCAAGTTTTTTTTGAGTAACCTATTTCTTAAGGTTGGAAAATTTCAATTTTGTTATTCGTCCAATTAAAAATTAGTGGAACTGTCAACTTACCATGCCTTTTTCGTTCCGATAAGCCTCTTCAAGTTAATATACTGAACATTTGATCATGATAAGGAGTGTAGCTACGGTCATTGTTACCTTAGCTCTGAACCTTTCTTTTTTTTCTACTTGATATTCTACATGGAAATGTCCCTTCCAGATTCAGTTCAAGTATCAGCAGTTTCAGTTGATAAGTCTCTCACCAAGAAAATCGACTGAAATTTAGGTGTCGATGGTGATAAGTCTCTCACCTTGTGCTGTTGCTTTACCTGCAGGTTCTCTAAGGACACCCAGCCTGGGCTGGTGAGAGAGGAGGTGGGGTCCAAGAAGCTCATTGCGCTGGGGCTTCAGGTCACCCCCATGGAGAAGATCATCAGGGACGCCGTGGAGAGCCTCAAGAGCCGAGGCCACATCTCCTGAAGTCCTGATGGCTGGCTGGGTAGTGCTTGTGATGTGAGGCCGTCGTGGACCTTGTCAAGTTGCTAGCGTGGCTTGTAACTATAGTAATAATGATGTCACCAGATGATGATGATAATAATAAGAAAGCCGTGGAATCTGAAAAAGAAAACCGAGCTAACTCGGTTTTTCAGTTCTTAATCATGAAGTTTCAGGCACCGAATTGGATTGGATCCTTGCCGAAGATGAAAGCCCAGAGACACACTGAACGTTCTGATAGACATAGACATATGACATATCGACGTGAACTGTACTTGGCCACTCCATCTGCTCCTCCGTTTCCTTGGCCTGCAGTCTGCAGAAAGCTCAGTATAATGCCGTCGTCTGCAGTTGCACAATGCGTGCTACGGTGCGCAATCACTGTGACTGTTGTGGATAATCCAAAAGAGGTGTCCGAAGCTGGTGCTAAACACGCATCCACAAAAAATCCCGGTGTCAGATAGCCACTCAGGCAGTCAGGCACTCACACAGTCGCAGCACACTCGGAGTGACTCGAGACCCAGCCCAGCCAGCTAGTCAGCTCAGGGAAAGGACGCGAGAGATGGCGGGGGCGACGGTGCTGGTCACCGGCGCCAGCGGCTTCATCGGCTCCACCCTCGTCCGCCTCCTCCTCGGCCGCGGCTACAACGTCCACGCCGGCGTCCTCAACCCCGGTTAGTACCAGTTGCTCACGCGACACGTACACAGACGCTGATGATGTTCCTTATAGTTACTATTTGGGCGGCGCAGATGACACGGCGGAGACGGAGCACCTGCTCGCCCTGGCCGCCGGCGCCGGCGAGGGCCGCCTCCGCATCTTCCGCGGCGACCTCCTCGACGGCGCCGCGCTGATGGACGCCGCGCGGGGCTGCTCGGGCGTCTTCCACCTCGCCTCGCCCTGCATCGTGGACGCCGTCAGCGACCCCCAGGCGTGTGTCCCGTCGCTGTCGACTCCTCTTCGGCTCGCTCTACCCCAGACTGACCCTGCTGTTCCGTTTATGCATGGTTGGTTGCAGAAGCAACTGATAGTGCCGGCGGTGGAAGGGACGCTGAACGTGCTGCGCGCCGCCAAGGAGGCCGGGAGCGTGCGGCGGGTGGTGGTCACCTCGTCCAGCTCGGCCATCATGCCCAGCCCCGGGTGGCCCGCCGGCGAGGTCCGCGACGAGCGCTGCTGGACCGACATCGACTACTGCGAGAAAAACGGGGTGAGCCTGAGCCTACTGCAGTACTGCCTACCTATTGCAGCGTCTCCAGGTACCATGGCGCCATGAATGATGGCACGATCAGCCTGGGAAACTCGGTGAACACAGAACTGGAGAAGGTTTGCAGGATTTCCAGGACGCGTGCAAGATGCAACCTCTGCAAAACTTCGGTTTCATCAGTAGCTTCGCACGCTGCGATCTCAGGTTCTCTTTGCTTGTGTTTGTGCATAGGTTTGGTACCCTGTTTCCAAGACGCTGGCAGAGAAGGCCGCGTGGAAGTTTGCAGAGGAAAACGGGCTGGATGTGGTTGTGATTAATCCAATGTCTGTCCTGGGCCCGATAATCCCACCAACCATCAATTCTAGCATGTCCGTGCTTCTACGCCTCCTTCAAGGTAAAGCTTTATTTAGGCCATACTAGTTTGGAATTCTGAATTCTAATTTCCGTTCCAAATATGAAATTTGAGTTGAAATATTTGATCATGGCTACTTTAGTGGTTTCAGTTTAAATCAATATATATGGTTTCCAAATGATTCATGCACTTGCAAAACCAAACAATTGTTTCTTTTTTTTGGGTCACTTCATGCAAGTTCCAAATTATATGCAGTGTTGAGAATATTCTTCTTGTTTGCTCATTATGCCGTTCATTGGATGAAGAGAACACTGAAGCACATCCAAATATGAAATATGAGCTGTTGTAGTTTTTGATAATGTCTACATTACCGGTTCAATTTGAATCAATATATGGTTCCCAAACACTGCATGCACTTCCAAAAACCAACCAATCCTCTTGTTTGCCAATTGATATGTTAGCTTGAATCCCCATGCAGTATGCAGAAACATTGCTATTCTTGCTTGCTAGCTCATTATGCCGTGCCATTACAATGAGATGAAGAAAACAGTGAAGCACATCATTTTGGCCATGCAGGTTGCACAGAGGAGTACAAGGACATCTGGATGGGGGCAGTCCATGTGGAAGACGTTGCCTTGGCCCATCTCCTGGTGTTCGAAAACCCATCAGCCTCCGGGAGGCACATCTGCGCCGAGTCCATCAATCACTTGAGCGACTTCGCGGCCAAACTTGCCGAGCTCTACCCCAGCTACAAAGTGCCCAAGTAAGCCACATTTTCAAAACCTCCTTATTTTTCGTGATGAAAACTGCATGAAAACCTCTGGGACTGCTTGCCTCTCCTCTTTTGGAATTGCAACTTGTGGTGTTGCTTTGTGGCAGGTTCCCCAGGGATACCCAGCCTGGGCTGGTGAGAGCGGAAGCGGAGGTGGCGTCGAAGAAGCTCGTCGCGCTAGGGCTGCAGTTCAGGCCCCTGGAGAAGATCATCAGGGATGCCGTGGAGAGCCTTAAGAGCAGAGGCTACATTTCGTAGCCGTCGGCTATTGTAATGTCCTCCTAGACCTTGCTAAGTTGCTAGTATGGTTTCGATAGATGTCACTAGAAAATAAGGCACTGTTTACAATGTGAAACTAAGTTTCAATCAAGCTCAGACACTGGGAAATCTCGAAGATGCCAATCAAATTTCGATCCTGAGTAGCAAATTTTGGAAAGTGAAATTGCGAACATGAATAAAATTTTCAAGGAGTTACACATGCGAAGGTTGGTTACTAAAAAAACTCAAATAGACTAGTTGTAACTACGAGTCTATGTTCGAGATCTGAACCTGAACCTGAATCTGATTAGGCCATGCTAACAGAGCTCTTTCTCCTCTCAGAGAAGTGATTTTATGGTTGTAACTTGGTGGTGAAATAAGAGGACCTAGTTGTTTCAGGCTTTCAGCTCGTAGACTTGCAGTTTATTTCAATACATAATCATCATCCTTCTGGTTTTACGGAAGTACCTCATGTATCTAGCCTCAAATTGTGAATCTGAATCCAAATCGGGATCTGAATCTGAATAGTAAAGTTCCTTCCCTGAATCTTTTGGTTTCAGCAATGGCATTTCGGCAACTTCGTTCATGTTCTCTGGCAGCTTCTGCATGATGCGGACCAAGAACTCCATGAAGCACACGGTGTGGAGCGTTGCCTTGTGCCCTTTCCTCCTTTCTCGCTCATTGAGCGGCAACAGGGCAGCCATATCCGCGGTCCGGCCTCAACCGGCTATCATTCTCTAAGTATATGCGGAGGGATGGTCTTATCCTAATAGGAAACTTTTTTCAAATGAAATCTACAAGTTTCTCATGATATTAGGCGAGTTCCCATCAAATTAGAATTGAATTGGACTCGTGGGAAAACCGGTTTAGCCAAATTCTAAAACTGGCTTAACCGGTTTGTGCCTGTGCAGGGTGAAAACTTCTTGAGGCCGTAATTCCTCGTCCGAACTCTAAATTGGATGGTCTATTTATGTGTTTTCCGATCATCTCAACTAGAGGAATGCAATGATGAAGTCCACTCTTCAATTTGGATGAGTTTTCAAAACCAGCTTAGCCGATTTCTGCTAGATCTGTTCCCCAAAATTAAAATTTTATTTTATTCGAAATCCAAATTAGATGATCCACGTATCTTTTTCAATCGCCTCAACAAGAGGAACGTAATGATAAAGTCTGTTATGCATTTTGACTAAGTGCCAAAACCAACTTAGCCAATCTGGAAAACAGCTAAACCTATTTCTGTTGGAAATTCTAGATCTAGAACTTTTGACAATTTTGGTTATCAATCAACACCCACGTGTTGTAGTCAACTAAGAATACAACTCCACAAAATCGAGGATATCAAAGCAACAAATCCGGTCCCGGCTCCTAGCGTATATATTTCAACAATCCTTGCATCCAAGGGGAGGAAATAAAAATAAAGAAAGAAAAGCAATAACGATGATAGGTATAATTACGAGCAAAAATGTAGAACTCCATCACCATTTTCGACCCGGCAGTGAAAAGGTCAAGCCCCAATCTTGTCAAGGCTCTCGGACACGGCCTTCATCCGTGGTCGGCACTCCGGGTCTGCCTCAACGCACCCTAGCGCGACGTGGAACGCCGCGACAACCTCCTTCCGTGCGGCGGCGTCCCTCAGGAAGGTGGCATCAGCCAGCTCCGATAGCGGCCGCACGTCCTCGAAACCCTGCCGCACCCACCTCACGAGCTCCGAAGCTTGTTGCTCTAGCTCCCGCTGCCCATTGTGACCCAGCAGGGATGGCACCGACGAGGACGATACGGACGGTGAGGCATGCTCTGGTGACTTCCCTGTGAGCAACTCCAGTAGCAGGATGCCGAACGAGTACACGTCGGACTTCTGGCTCGGCGGTTGTGAGCCCCCCAGCGCGCGTGCCTCAGGGGCGCGATACGCGCTGGACTTGTCCATTAGAGCGGCGGGCCTAGCATACGGTAGCGCGCCGCCCATGATGCCGCCGGACCCTGCCACGGAGTAAACGTCGGTGCAGCCGGCGATGGTGAGGAGGCGAGTGAGGCCGAAGTCGGCGACAAGCGCGTTGTAGTCGGCATCCAGCAGGATGTTGGAGGGCCTGACCTCGCCATGGACAAACCGGCGTGGGCTGCACTCGTGAAGGTGCGCAAGCCCACGCGCCACACCCTTGGCGATCCGCAGTCGTAGGGTCCATGATAGGGTTGGCTGTCCGGACCGGCCTGCACGAAAACATATGTCACAGTGGTTAGTTGATTGCAACTCTCAGTTTTTTTTTCTAAAAAAAGGAGATGTTAGCGTACTCTCTTCGTTTCAAATTATACGATGTTTTGACTTTTTAACACGTATCGTTTGCTATGTATTTAGATACATTATCTCTAGGTAAAAAAAACAATATATCTAGAAAAACCAAAATATCTAATAATTTGAAACAAAGAGAGTATATGGGAAAATGTAGACCATGCTCGTATAAAAAAAATTATTGGCTGTTACTTCCGGATTATAGATGTCTTTTTACTAGCCCAACAAACATGGCTTAAAACTTAATTTTTTTATAGAAATCGTGCATCATTGTTAGAGACTAACATCTATTTATATATAAAACAATGCTATAAGAATTTGCGAACCGACTCGTATTTAAGTATTTAACACGATCCATACGTCCCACATGGATCATATGTCCCAAAACTTAGGCCGGAATCATTGTTTCGGCAACTCGGCGCTAGAGTTGCAAGACGATTGTTGCCTGGCCATGATCTTACAATTTTCTACCTAATTATGAGGTCTAAGAGCAAGTATAATAAAATGGCATAGATATGATGAAATGTAAGTTACCTCATTAGAAACTTATTTGGATGAAAACCTCCTAGGCAGGGGCGGAGACAGAGGGTGCCTAGGCCCCCTATGAATGTGAAATCTCCACTTAATTTTTTAAAATTCAAATAAATTTTAAAAAATTAACACTGCTGCGCCCCCCCCTCCTAACATTTAAAAAATTATTTTTCTGGTTCCGCCCCTGCTCCTAGGCAATTGATCTTGGTTCCAAGCATCCAAAATCGAACGCCTAGCAGACACCGTCCAATCAGCCACTTTTGTGCTGAGTTTGAAGCAGAGAGAAAAAAAACCGGCTGCATACTTGTAGCTAGCTGACGCATAGATTGTAATTTGTGAGATAGCAAGATGAGTTAGATAGATATTGATGGTCTAGCAATATGGATGGACTATTAATTAGTTGCAGGTGATATGATAACAATATAACTTGTTGCTGGCTTGGCTGTATTATTAATCATGTTTCATGCTCCTAAGTACTCGATCCAGCTGCAATTTGGCTGCCTGCCTGCCTCTGTTCCTGGACGCATACTTTTGTTCAGGCGTTATTATTTGTTGTTATGTACTTTTGCTCAACTCTGAACACTCATGGTAGTCCCAATGAAAGAAACTCACGAGCCCCTAGAAACTGGTGGTTTCTCCCCAATGACGATTTCATGGTTTCTTGATGCATTGGGTCAAGAGAATACCTGATTTCTTCATGAGGAAACTATTTCTATGATTTTTACTCTCTTTTTTCATTAACTACGTTGCCATGTTAACATTTTATCTACGTGACAAGTTATTTAACGAGAATAAAAACCATCGTCAATGCAACCTTGGACTGCCCTCAGCGTCTGTTACCCTCGTCGACCGACCGAAAAGCGGTAAAGACGCGGTAAAGCTTCACGGACAACCGCGGAGCGCATGCACGCTCCCGAACGGTCGGTATGGAAGCTGTCGCTCCATCACCCTCGTCGCGTCTGGCCGGTTTTCTATACCCGTAGTAGCAGTACCACTGTACGAGCTGTGTGAATCCAGGCCATACCATGGTAGGATTACTGTCTCTCTCTCACTCGATCACCCTCGTCGCTGATGGCCGGTTTCTGTGGCCGAAAGGTGGATCTCCCAGTCCGTTTTTTATTTGGCTGTCACGAGTGACGTCCCAAGGAATTTGGCAACTAAACTACGTGATAAAATTTTCTAATGATACTTGTTTGATATCATAAATGTTATTATTTATTATTATATTATATAAAATTTAGTTAAACTTAAAATGCTTTGACTCTCAAGAAAAGTTAGAATGATATATAATTTGAGATGGAGGGCGTACATAATATATACTTATTGTACTCATATTAGCATGTGGTCCGTTAGATTTGTTGTATGGTAACTCAAATAGTTGTAAGAGGACTCAGTAGAGGTGTGCTACTATGACTTCTAGTTTATTAGGACGTGAGTCTAGAATCCTACTTAGAAATATGACTTCTATTTACGTGTATGAAGGCTTTGAATGGGACTGTATAACAAGGGGTAGAGGCCATAGGTATCAATCAAGCCAACACAAGGGTCTCATCCAAGGCTTATAAGAGCAATTAGGAGCGTTCAAGAGGATTATGTTAGAAGTTCTATTGCAATGCATTCTTCTATATAGGACAAAATAATCATAAAGTCCTAGAGGGTTAAATAGGGTTGTGAGAGTGGTAATCACTTGTACTCATTTGGAGTTGTGTTTATAATTTGTTCATCTATTGTCGTGGTTGCTTCAAGGTCATCAAGAATTTTCTACGTGATTCGACTACATGGTTCTTCATACGATATAAGCTTATGTGCTCTCAATATCCTTTTAGAAATCAGATGATTGCTACACGTAACTAGAGATATCAAATTCTAATAAGATTTCGAAGCCCCAAGCGGTCGCACTACCCCACAGGCCTAGGGACGTCCCTTGGTTGTCATCAATGCTATATTTTGTTGCATGTCCAGCTTACCACCCTTCTTGATTTTTTCTGCCATGTTTCCAATAATGGATGCTATATATAGAGCCCGGGCCGTGTGCTTCGCTCTTCTCTTGGCGTCTGCTCCTCGAACCATATGTCCTATCGCAGAGTTCATTTCAGCCGTATTCCAGCGATCTGCTCTAATGTCTAGAGGTGGGGTACTGGGCTACACTGAATAATTAAGAGGTCCCACGAGTAGATTAGTCTGAACCAGAAATTGAAGGCGTGTACACTTTGATAGCATTTGGTTTAGACTGGGAGACATATATAGATGGGCGGAGCCATCCTGGAGGGAATATTCTCTCATTATACGGGACGAGTTTGTAACCAAAAAACGAAGGGACAAAGTGGGACGAGCGAGGACGAGTCGAGTATAATGATCCTCCTAACCAAACACTGAAATAGGATGATCCTGCTCCCAAAATTAGGAACTAGGCAATCCCATCCCACCATGTCTTGGAACCAAACACATCCATAAGTATAGTGTAGGTTTGGGTTCATTAGGCTCCATGAAAAGTGACAAGTGTAGGCTGTCTGAGCATTGACCACAACATGAACCCGTTCAACGACACGGAGCTTTGCCTCTCGGACTATCTTGGCTTGTTCGGTTGGGAGTCCCCCTTACCAGTGGCGGAGGGATAACTAGAATTAAGTGGGGCTCATTTTAAAAGGCGCTACTGTAGCAGTTGGCAGTGGCAGGAGGCACGGCTTCCCGTCGCCTGCCTTCTTCTCGTTCGCTTCTCTCATGAGCCATACTATTTTAACAAACGAACGAACAGTACTTTTAGTCATGGCTTTTCAGCAAAGCGAACATGACCATAGTTAAATAGCATGCGGCTGCCACTTCACATGTCCTGTCTTTTTGTCGTTCGTGTCTTTCCTTCTTGCACTAATCACGCTGTCAGTTTAATAACTTCAGGGATTCGTAAGCTTTCACTCTTCTTTTGTCAGAGGCAAGGGGGTCAACGCCCAGTTTCGCCTCGGTGAGGCTCCGGCACTGCCCCTTGGTCGAAAGAAGTTGATCACAGCTGAACATGGCTTCCCCTGGCCCAAGCAAAGGGTGTGGATATACCAAATTTCAAATTTAGGGCATGTTCGCTGGTTAGTGCTGGTGCTGTTTTAGGCTGACTAGTGCTGATTATTTTGAGAGAAAAACACTGTTGGCTGGCTGGTTTGGCCTTGCTGAAACCGACAAGCCAACAGGCTGTTAGAAAGAGGGATTTGGTAGTTGTGTGAATTATTGTCACGTACCATCCGTGTTTGCTAGCATGAGTGGTCGTGAAGTGCTTTGCACCACAGATTTCAGCGAAAATTACGGGTCTGGAGCTCCTCGTACTCTGGATCATCTATAAAAATTGGTTCTCTGAGAGAAATAATTATTTGAATAAAAAATGTTTCTCCACGATTTTCTAGAAGAAACTATTTGGCATAGTTTCTCCTAAATTGTTCCTAAAAACTGCTCCAAATGCTTTGCCAAACAGGCAGTATCATTGAATAGAAGTATTTAATAATCCATACTACGTAACACCCGGAATTTGAACAGAGTTAGCTTTGAACTGTGTAATAGCTATAGATGGGCAACAGGCCGGCCCGCCCCGGCCCGACCCTGCAACAGGGCTGGGCCGGGCCAGGAAGGGCACGATGTGCCGCCGAGCCATGCCGAGCTGGGCTTCGTGCCTGGCCGACGACCCAGGCACAGCTTGCTGGGCCAATTTTCGTGCCGGCCCGGCCCGAAAAGCACGCTGTGCCAGCGGGCCGGGGCAGCTCGAGACCCATATAGAGAGAGAGGGGGAGGGGAAGGGGAGGCCGGGAGCGCAGAGTTAGCCGCGGGAGGCAGCTGCGGCCGCCAGCGCGCTCGCATCCGCCAACTTGGTGGCCGGATCCACGAAGGACGAGACCGGATCTGCAGAGGCGAGGGATGCCGCCACCGCTGCACTCGGCGCCGCCGAAGCTCCCGGGGAAGACGCGCGCGGCTCTTGGGCTCTTCTTCGCAGGAGGAGCGAGGCGCGATGGCGCTTCTCCTCGCGACGGCGCTGGTTTGTCCGCTCGGAGAAGACGTGGCGGTGAGAAGTGCGACGGCCGCGGCGGCGCAAGATGCTGCGTGGGGCGTAGAGGAGCCGCAGAGGAAACGACTTCGCCTGTGCGACCGCGAGAGGGAGTACGAGTATCTGCTGAGTGCGGTGACGGATAGGAAGGGCCGAAGGGGGCACCGCAGTGGTCTCTCAGCCTCTTAGCAGGCAATGGTAGGCACCGGGCCGCTATCGGACCAACCTTTGAATGTCGGGTTGTGCCGTGCTGCCCAGCGTGCTTGAGCAGCGGCCCAGGGACGACCCTATGCATTGGGCCGGGCCGGTCTGGGCCTGCAAAACACCAGGGCGTGCCGTGCTCGTGCCGGGCCAAAATAGCGGGCTTGAGGCGGGCCACCGGGCTTCGGGCTGCATGTAATAGCTGAAAAAACCGAAGAACTATCGCCCACCGATGCAATATGATAGTACATGCTATGCTTCTCGGAAAACTGCTAAAACAGATCATTCCGGGCGTTTTGGCACTGCACTATGTTGTGGTTATTTCCAGTTTTTGTTGTAAATTACTTGCAATGTTAAAACATCTTTTTTATTAATATACACGCCCGATAGATCTTCTGTTGGTTGCATTAAATTAAACTACACGTGGTCCAAGCTCCTTTCTCCTCTCGCTCTTCTCGTCCGCGCAAACCTGGGTCCAGGCATTGGACGTGCAATATGGTTGCAGGTACCTGTTAGTCCATGACCCTGCTGTATCTACATGATTTCTTGCCAGAAACACCGAGGGCAAATGGCCTTTTGGCCTCCCCTGTTCCGGTTCCGTCAGACGGACCAACCCTGCAATTCTGGGTGTTTTGCTCGTTTCGTACAGTGTCTAGAGCACTGCAATTTACCGCACCATGGTGAAGGGTCATCCTCCAGATACCAAGTTCACGTTATACCTGATTCTCTGGTTCCCACATTCTCATCTATCGACCAAAGACTGTTCGGATTCGTTTCCTAATGACCGTGCACGACAGGGACGAGAAGGTGACATTTGCTGCTTATTACCGTGGTCCTTGCATGGCATGACAGATGCACGGACAACCGCATCGACACTCCCGGCTGGTCGTTTTCAAAGATTTTTTTTAGCTCAGTTTCGCCTCTGCACCATTATGGCGAATCCATGGCCAATTCGCGGCAGGGCTCTGTGCCTGTCCCTTAATCGTTAGGCCATGTACTGATGATGTAGGAGTACAATCCATCAAGGAACTAACATATTCTATTATTGAAACTCAGTAGAAATGCTGCAATTGTTTAGCTCCTCTTCAACAGGAGCAAGTGGAACCCATTACCGAATAATTTTTTTTATTCCCACCACACAACATAGACACATTTCTCAATCTCTGGGTTTTCTCTTTCCTACCTCTCCAGTAGCTATTGGAGGATTTCGTTTTTTTTAATGTCTTGTCTTCTTCTTCTAACACTGTTTAACTTGGCACCTCATTGTACAATGGCTGAGGATAGTTTCTTTTGGGACAATATTGAAAATGTTTAGACCGCATCTCCATTAGTTTTTGACGTATTACTGACAGGTGAGCCTCCCTACTGTCTTTTATATTTGGTTTTGGTTGGTACCGACACAACATTTGTTACCCGTTCTAGCTTATCATCGCTCTCGATTTCTGCTGACATCCTTCCAACGGATGGCATATGTGCACAATCGATGCCATCCGCTCTCCTCTCCGCCGTTGCCAACACCCTATCCGAAACGAAAGGTCCTGCCTAGATTTTCTAGTTCAATTCAATTCCAAGTTTTAGAGGTCCCTTTTTCAGGGATAATAAATGGGTGCAAGAATTTCATACTAGATATTATTTCACACCTTACAAAATCTTGTTTTCAATACAAAATCTACTATTTTCTATGATATATCTATCAGATATAAGACACTCTTTTGAGAGTCTGTATTTAAAAAAAAGAAATATTGCATAGGTTCCTATGCAAACGTTGTTCAATGGATTAAGGTTCTATTTGGATCCATTAGCTACTAATAATTAGCTACCTAATAGCTAATTAACTGCTATTAGTTGGTTTAGCTCAACTAGGTATTAGTTGAGTATTCAACTATAAGAATTAGGTAGACTATTAACGAGACCCATTTGGATCTGAAAAGCTAATTATTAGCCGCTACTCCATCCATTTTAAATTATCTATTAGGGACAGACTCTACAGATGGAAACATGGGCCTAAGTCATCCATCCGGTTCTCTCTCCGGTTTACCTAAAAATTCCTAGGTGACAACTGTAGGACCAATGCGTTTCTTCCATGCCCAATCCGTCGAGTGTCGACTACCACTGCACTTTCTAGCTGGGGCTTTGGGCCACTCTGATAAAGTAGCTTCCAGTGAATTGTTTGGGACTTGGGGTCCTACAGCTACAGGACATGATCACTTCCACGGTTCCACCCCGTCCTTGGCCACGGATCGATGGTAACGAAGAAGCCACAATCCAACGACCTCGCTTGGGTTTGATTATGTGCACGAGCTACAGACGTTCTGCTAGATAGAGTCCACATCCGGACTGGTACGCCCAGCCGTGTCCTTGACATCATGTGAGCCCGAGGATATGAAATGCCCAGAGAATATGAACCGCGAAGGAATTGGCAGAGGATGGGTAGGCACTCACCGCGCAACGCCGTCGCGAGGTTGCCGTTGTTGATGAAGTCGGTGACCACGAGCTTCTCGTCGGCGGACCAGTAGTAGGCGCGCAGCCTGACGACGTTGGGGTGGCGCACGCGCCCGATGGCGCCTGCCTCCGCGGCGAACTCCCGATACCGCTCGGGCGCCGCGGCGCCACCGCCGAGCCGGCGCACGGCCACGGGCGTCGTGCCATTGTCCACAACCACCTTGTACACGATCCCCTTACCGCCCCTGCCCAGCACGTACGCCGACGACCTCAGCAGCTCGTCCAGCTCCATCCTGAACCCCTTGTCGATCGCCACCAGTTCGCCGGCCTCCCCGGTTCCTCCTCCAGTTCCTCCGCCACCGTTGCACTTTCCGTCGTGCTCGGAGCACTCCGAGGACGAGTCGCCGCACGGGTCGGCGCGAATGCAGCACGGGCAAGGGAACAGGCCGCGCCCTTCCTCGTCGTACTCGTCGTCGTCGCCTTTGTCTTTGTCACAGACCTTCCAGTACACGTAGACCGCGATGACACCGACCAACGCGACGGCCACCGCGTCGGCCACCGAGATGAGCACGATGAGGCTGGTCTTCATCGGCTGCCGTGCACCGCCCGCGCCGCCGTTGGAAGCGGCGGCAGAGGACAACGGAGGCGGTGGGGACGACGACGACGACGGAGGAGGAGCGGCGCGGCAGGGGACCTGCAGCGGGAAGCCGCAGAGCCCCGGGTTGTTGAGGAACGCGGTGGGGCCCTGGCTGGCGAGGGAGCCGGACTGCGGGATCTCGCCTGAGAGGTTGTTGAAGCGGAGGTCGAGCGTGACGGTGGCCGGGAGGCGACCGAGCTCGAGGGGCACCCCGCCGGAGAGGTGGTTGTGGGAGAGGTTAAGCGTGCCGGCGAGCGCGGAGAGCTTGCCGAGGTCTTTCGGTATCACGCCGGTGAGGTTGTTGGACGATAGGTCCAGCATCTGCAGGCCCACCATCTCCTGCCAGACAGAGACAGCCGCCGGTATGTTGCTGGATAACTCATTCTCGGCGAGAAGCAGCCGCTCCAGCTGCTTGCAGCGCCCAAGCTCCGGCGGCAGCGCGCCCGTCAAGGCGTTCCGCGACAGGTCGAGGTTCTGCAGCTTTGGTATCCCGCACAGCGCGGCCGGGAACGGCCCCGTGAGTCGGTTATCGTAGAGGAAGAGGGAGCGCAGGTCGGTGGCGTTGGCGAGCGCGGCGGGGACGGTTCCCGTCAGGCGGTTCCCGTGGAGGTTGAGCCGGCGTAGGAACGCGAGCGACCCAAGCTCGGAGGGGATGTAGCCGGATAGGTTCTTGCCGGTGATGGCCACCCCGACAACGCGCAGTCCGTCGCTGGACGAGGTGTTGACGCAGGTGACGCCCAGCCAGCGGCACGGGTCCGCGTCGGCGTCGGACCACGACGAAAGAGCCGAGGACGGATCGTCGATCACCGCCGACTTGAAGGCCAGCAACGAAAGCCCGTCCGCCGACAGTGCCGCCACCACCGCCGGCGCCGTGAGCAGGAGGAGTAGGATCCCGAGCGAGTGTAGCACACTCATTTAATTGCTTGGTCTCTGCAACTGGTGTCCTGCTCTGCCCGAGCTGTGCCAGGTAACTGAAGTGGGAATAATCGTGTCACTATGGATATGCAGGCAGAGTGACAGAGTGTGAGGCAGGGGAAGAAGCATATTTAAGCGGTAATGCTACGACTCTGATGGCCGACCCTTCCGGACACGCGTCGGATAACTATTGAACACGGTGGCCGCGTGTCTTCCTTCACTTGTCTCTCACGGTCTTATCGGTAAGCACTGCAGTTCATTTCACAACCCGTCCACACGTTCGCTGCCGCTGCTCCTCTCCTCTCCCTCTCCTCCTCCCATGGATCCAGGAGCGCCGCGCGCCCCTGACTACGCTCCGTAGCGCCGCGAGCCGACAGCCGCGCTCCTCCCCGCCTTCCGCCCGTCCTTCACACACCTTGCTTCCTCCCTGGCTGGCGGCGGCAACGTCCTCTCCCACTCCGACGTCCTCCTCCCCCACCCTAGCGGCTCCCATCCCCGACACCGGCGTCCTCCCCCCACCACGATGGCTCCTTCTCCCACACCGACGTCTCCTTCCCCATCCCCGGCGTCCTCCTTCCCCACCCCGGCTCCCTCCTCCCCACCCCAACGGTGCCCCTCCCTGACGCCGGCGTCCTCCCCTACAGGGAGCTCCTGACACCCTCAGATCTGGCGGCCATGGCGCTCCTCGTGCAGTGCTCTCTCCCCCAATATCTTGCAATTGTATCTTTCAGTTGTTTCAGACGCTTTAGAGGTATGTTGCAGTTGAATCGTAAGGACGTTGCACAGGTAGACCTGGGGGATGTTTTGCCCATGTTTCAACGGGTTTTCAAAGATTTTGTTGCAAGCACTGTTTCAAAATGTTTCACTTGTCAATGTTGCAATCGTTCTGATCTGGATGTTTCATATGCTTCGAACAAATGTAGCAACAATACTTTTGAAACGTTTCAGTTGCTTCAGTATCATGTTGCAGTAGTTGTTCCATGTTGTTGCAAGTGTTTTTATTCGAGCGTTGTTTCATATGCTTTCGGCCTAATGTTGCAGCAGGTGTTCCGTGATGTTGCAATAATATGTTCATGGCGTTTCAACTGCTTCAGCCTAATGTTGCAGCCGTTGTTCCATGTTGTTGCAATAATATGTTCATGGTGTTTCAGCTGCTTCAGCGTAATGTTGCAGTAGTTGTTCCGCGTTGTTGCACGTGTTTTATTCCAGCTTTCTATATTGTTCGGCCGGGGAGGGGCGAGCCAGGCGGACGAGGGCGCGTGGTTCGCCGGGGCCTAGCGGGTGGAGGTACTAGGGCCGACGGACGCGGGTGTTGTGGCCATGGGGGCGCTGGGCATGCAGCATGCTCGTCGCGGGCATGGGGCGGACGTGACGGGCTGCAGGACAATCTGGTGGTGTACGGACTAGGCCGGGGGGCATGCGGACTGGGAAAGGGCATGCACGGACTGGGAAGCTGTAACACCCCGGTGTTATGCCTACATCTAGGCACTGCTAAATCATACATGTCATGCATCATCAAGCATCCTAATCCTACATGCATGATCTTGCATATAACAACTGAAACATTTCTTCGAAGCATACGAAACATGTTTGTGAAACGTAAATGGTACATACACTTATTATAGTTGTTCTGCTTCTCGATTCTTGCTTACTAGTTATGTAGAAACTGTTGGTTATGCTTGTAAATCATCTAGAATGGTTTAGCACAATTTTTGGAGCAAGGGTTGTATTTGAATTATTGCCAAATTTTGCTTTAAAAATAATTCCCCAAAATTAGGGTTTTGAGTTAAAAATTTAAACTTTTATTCTATAATTTAAAATCTAGATAGAATTGGACTTTGGTCATAAAAGCAAAATTGTAGGGAATTTAATTCTAAGCAATTTTCATTTTTGGTACATTTTCAAAAGAGGTCATTTTCTTGCTCAAAATAATGTTTGAATGGTGGCATTTAAAAATTTCTTGAAAATAAATTGAAAATCTTCATTTCCTTTTTCCTGGGCCGCCGCCGCTGCCTTCGGCCCACCAAGACCAGTGGCGGCCGGCCTGCCTGCCTCGCGCCTCGCCCGCTCACCGCGCTGCCTCGGCCCGCCCATTGCTTGGCCATGCCCAGTTCTGCCTACGCTGCCTTCTCTTCCCCCAGGCCAGGTCCCCAGCCATATGAGAGCTTGCTGGCCGCGTGGCAGCCTCTGCTCAAGGCGTCGCCTTGCATGTGCACTGTGGGTCAACAACGCGCCCACGCGCCCGCCTTTCACCTGCCTGTGTCGCGTCAAGACCCGCCACTCGCGCCTGCACTTCCTCCCTTCTCCTCCGCAGCCATGAGCTCCGAGCCCTCACGGTCACTGCGTGCTCGAGCTCGCCGTCGTCCAACTCAAGCACCACCGCACCTTTCTCCAATTCCTCGTGCCCCGAGCTCCGCCTCGCCTTCCTCAAGTAGTGCTCGAACTTGCTCGCCTTCCGAGCACAGGTCGGACCTCCCTCGCCGCCGCCATCGGCGCCCATGGCACCGCCATGCCACGGCCGCTGGGAGCGCTTTTTCCTTCCTCTCCACCGTGATAGCGACCTTGCCGAAGCTCGCTTTCTCCTCGCGCGCCTCCTGCGCTCGCTCTCTGGCGTTGTTGCCGGGCGGAGACGGCCGCTGGTCATTGGCCGAGTTGCGCCGCTGCACACACAGCAAGGCCCACCAACATGGCGTCGCTTCTACCGCTGTTTGGCCAGTAAAAGCGGCCAGGTCAAGCCTCGCCAGCCAGCCGCGCTCATCCTTTTCGCTCGGGTCGCGAGGTCGAAGTGGTCGTGGGCCGTCGGGTCCTTCGGCCGCCCAAAGAACACTTAAGCTTAATTGTTTTTCATTTATTATTTGTTATTTGAAATCAAGAATGGTTTGAAAAATGTTTGGATGATCAAAGTTGCTCCAAATTTGTTGAAACAAATTTTTCTAGGTTCCTTATTACCAGATCTACTTGGGAAAATTATTGCATGTCATGTTTGATATACTTTCCTATAGGCTTTTATTTAATCTTGAATATTGCTGATAACTTGAAAAATATGTAGAAAAATATATAGGCTTCAGAAAAATATGATTCCAAGTTTGTTAATCTTCTTATGTCATGTACTTCTTAGGAAAAATATGTTTCATACATGTGCTGTGGGAAAATTTAGAGGTGTAGTTCAAGTGCCTTTAAGGGCTGATTTTTGTTATTTTTGATAGAGAGCAAACTTTGTATAAAACATGCATGTGGTAATTTTTGTACAGCCATTATATGCTATGAAGAACCTAGGAAAAATATTAATTCTGTTGTTTGGCACTTTTCATAGTACAAAGTAATTTCATGCTCATTTTCATGCTATAGCTTGTCATTTTTGTGTAGGATGGTTTACTTATCCAAATGCCATGAAATTTTTATGGTAGTCTGTTTAGAGTAGTATTATGCTACTGTAATTTTCTCAGATTTTTAGGAGCATCAGAAATATATGTTGCTATTCAAACCTATTATTAATTAGGGTTTAAGCAAGTGTCGCTTTAAGTGTGATTAAGAAATTAGTAAAGCTTTGGTGTATCTTTGAAGCATTTCATAAGATAGGTTAACTTAACATATTAGTAGTAGAAGAGAATGCAGTAGATGACATGTGCTTGTATTATAGTTTCGTGGATGATGTTGACTACCTTGCATTTAAACATATCCATTGCATTCATCTCCTTCGATGCACCGTTTGCATAATCACTTACGCGCATTGCATCATACAGGATCGCAAACCGAGAACCCAGTCGTCATACCCGAGGAGCCCGAGGAGCAGTTCGAGGTGCAGCCGCAGGAAGTGCCAGAAGCCGACGAGGAGGACGTTGAGGAACTTCCGGAGTGCCCCGATCACCGTCCGAGCTCCTTCGAGAGAGGCAAGCCCCGGAGCATTTTCTCCCGGTTTGCAATTAATTAATTAAATGTTTTACTTTAAATTGATGCATTACGTTCAGGAGTTGTTTGCAACCGTTGCTGCATTATACCTTGTTTACCTTTGTATACTATATCCTTGTTACCCTGGTATCCGCAATGAGTCAATGCTTAGTCGGCTTAGACCGGTAGAAGTCGGGTGATTTCCTGTCACCTGCGAGCTATAGGTGGTTACCTGGATCTGCTTGGATGACTATGAAGTCATGGTATAACTAAGGGTTAAATGAAGTTGAGACCGGACGGAGACTTGCAGAGTTTTGAACTGTAGTGTTTCCGCTCAGGTTGTCGATTAAGGACCGACCGTTGTTGGGCCTCGAGTCATGTTGAACGATGCCTTACATTTAGTCGGGCGGATAAAGTACCTTCCGACCGCTGAAGCCGGGAGATTTTTCAGGCCGAGTAGATTGCCCGCAGCAAGACCGTGTCAAGTGTGTGTGGTAGGAAACGGGGGCGGGATGATAAGACCAAAGTGCAGTCGGTCGGCCCCCGGGTACATGTGGTTCCTGGCAAACTCGAGATACCTGGAAAGTTGACTCGGTGATCAATATCTCACTTTAGCGGGTGAGTGAGATTTGTGTAAGGAATAAATCACCAGCTGGTTAGGAACCGATTCGAATCGCCATCGCTCCTGGATAGTGAGCACTTGACTTGAGTGACTTCATCGTAGTAAATGTTTATGGAACACTTGGACAGTTATAGTGAATATGACAGTATGGAAGTTGTTTAATGATCAGTGGTTATCATTAATTGCTTAATCACATGTTTACTCTAGTATAGGTGCAAATCTAGTGGACAGGTTAATAATAATTAACTTGGCAATAATGCTTTTAGAAAGGTTCTTGAAATGCTAAAAATGCTTCTTTTGCAAATGAGTCAGCTACCCTACTATAAAGCCCTTCATAATCCTTGGTGTCATTTATTTTCGGTTATGTCGGGTAAGTCTGGCTGAGTACATTCTCGTACTCAGGGTTTTATTTCCCACTTGTTGCGAGATGGGCGAGATGTACTATGGCTATTGTATCAGCCTGTATCCCGCGATGGTGATGCTTAGGACC